TATAAATGCCGAACTCCTGCTGCCAGCCAGCCAAACTATATCTTCATCTCTCACCTTTCAGGATTTATTAATGTTACTTTTGCTGGCTCGTGGGGTTTAGTTGAATATATTGTTTTCCCTATATATTCACCTGCATAAAAGAGTGATCAGCTGGGTGTGGTGGCTAATGCCTGTTATCCCAGCATTTTTGGAGGCTGAGGCAGGTTGGATCACCTGAAGTCAGGAGTTCAAGACCAGCCTGGCCAATACGGCAAAAGCCCGTTTCTACTAAATTTACAAGAATTAGCTGTGCATGTTGGCATGCGCCTGTAATCTCAGCTACTCTGGAGTCTGAAGCAGGGGAATCACTTGAACCTAGGAGGAGGAGGTTGCAGTGAGCTGAGATCACGCTACTGCACTCCAGCCTAGGTGAGAGTGAGACTCCATCTCAAAAAAAAAAAAAAAAAAAAGGCTCATCAGATTTTCACTTTTTCCTCAAATTACAGCATCAATTTCAGGGACAAATTTTAGTCCACAAAACTTGAGATCTATCTCCTAGACTGAAAATACCCTGCTTCCCTTTTCTATTTTTCTTTATATCTACTTATTTTCCAGTGTGATTGCTGTTAGTAATCAGTGTCATTTTCCAATTTCAGGTCTAGGATTACAGTGTTTGAAGAAGGGAGGCAAGAAAATTCCCCATTTGCTTTTGCCATAAGAAAAGATTTTACTTTTCCTCCATAGTCAGACTCTTGGTACGTTTTCTAGATGTGTTACCAGTATCTCAAACTTGAAAGGAAATAATAGGCCCTAATTGCCCCATTTCAAGAATCACAGCTGTCACCAAAACACAAATCTAACTATCTCAGGAAAGAAAGAACCTGGAATGATCTATATATTTTTTCTGTGTTAAGTTGACTTAAAATCTTGTATGTGAGTCTGGTAACAGATACACACTACACATATACACACATTTTTTACCTAAGTATAAATGTTATACATATCTTTTCTTTAAATTATACAGACCTGTAGTGATAATCATTAAAAAATTAAGCCTGGTATGACAAACATTTATCAAGTTCTGTCAGTTCTGCTAATATTGTAATGCTGTACAGAATGCTGTGTTGGGAAGATTCTGGCCATAAAGGGTCAAGATAGAAAAGAGCATGACAGTCTCTTAACTATGTCTATAATATAAGTATTGGAAGAGGTAAAAAAGCAATCTATTTGTTATCTATGACCTAATCAAATTATCTGTTCAAAAATTCCTCCTTTCATCTTTTTAATGAAACAATATATAAACATACATTCAGTGAGCAGAATTTCACTGAACATTTCATAATTTCTAATTATGAGACAATGTATTATGTTTCGATCAGGAGTTAATAATTAAGCATTACTAAAACTTATTAATTCAATTTAATTTCAGGTAAGAATAAACCAATTTAGGAAAATAAAACAGTGTCATTATTTTGAAGTAACCTACTGAGAAGGATTAGAAAAAGGGAAGTTGTAATCATGGTCTTAGGGAGTACCATTCACAAACTATGGTGTAAATGTCACCCCCTAGAGTTGCACAAGACACAATTCTCACAACCATATGTGGCAATCCTATTGTCTGACTCTAAATGAAAGAAATAGTATAAAATATAATAGTGGCAATATTTGTTTACCTCTTTATAGAATATAAAGGGAAGAGGAATGCATCGACATAATTGAAGCACATATTAGTTTAGGATTTTATATCCTGCTTTTCATTACTCATCAGATAATTTATTTTAAAATTCTAACCTATATTTTTAAGATAAATAATCATATATAATGAAAACTTTAACATTTCACCTCCCCAAAGTACTAGACATTTAAAATTAGCAATGTTCAAATTAAAGGTATTTTATTGACTCTTTACACTCTATTTGTTTTTATAAGACTACAGTGTGTGAATGGAGACCAACAGGCTGTAAATTTTCCCCAGGCCAATAATAATTCTTTTATCTTCAGCAATCCACTTAAAATGCTGAAACTTTTCCAATATGTTATAATATTCAGACAGTTCACAAGGAGTTCTCTGTTCTGAAGTTGGTTGTCTTAGATAATTATCCCCTTTGGATGTAGAGCAGGTTGAGTAAATTTTGGGTTAACACACAAGAGGAATGGAAGGTAATAAGTTCTACGATGGACAATCACTCCCTTTGTAGAAGAACAAGATGTCAGTGGAATTCCAGAGTCTTGTCCCATATTAGGCTTCTTTGCTGTTCTAGCATGCCTCTTACTGGTATCTACAATGTTTGTAAATGTTAATGTATAGACACATCAGCACTTCTGTGGGCTTTAATATCAAATGTCAACAGAAACTGAGATCAGCAATTGATTTCATAGAATAAAAATACTGGTAGTTCATTTTTGCTTCTTTTGGTTCTGGTTATGGTTAAAATAGATCCCATCCTTTGCTTTCTGCTAATGCAAGCAAGGCAAATGGGATAAATTTATGACTTATCAGAATAGCCCTCATGACGTATTCTAGCATAGAAACCAACAATAAGCAGGATACACACACACACACACACACACACACACACACACACACACACACACAGATATAAAATATCTGAAAGTGATAGGAGCTATGAGGAAAATAAATTAGTGAAAAGGACTAGGGCATAATGGAAAAATGAATTATAGGGCATAATGGAAAAATAGAGTGGTCAGTGATACTACGATCAAAATATAGTAAAACGGTAGATAGAAGGTAAAGGGGGCAGCTACTTTAGATTGTGTGGTTGTGGAAGAATTTTCTACAAAGCTAATATTTCAGCTGACAGTTGAATGCTTGGGAAGCAGCCATGCCAACATTCTGGTGCATAATCTTCAAAGGCACTTTGTGAGCAGTGAGCCTGGATTGTTGGATGAAAAAAACTAGCATGTCTGAAGTGTGATGAATAAGAAGTTAGACATATAGAGATAAAATCACAGAGGTAGGGGTAGAATGGCCAGGTCACACCAGCCATGGTAATATTTTCATTTTTCATCTGGATCTGTATATATGGTACATCTTGATGGTGGGGTACTGGCCCCCAAATTTTACCTGGATAACTATTTTATCTCCTACATCACTCTTCATGCCTATAGTTAGCTATTCCATCATTCCATCAGTGAAATGATCAAATAAATATTTATTGTGCTAGGCATGATGCTAAGATGGGGATACAGTGTTGACCAAGAGAGATACCACCAACCCTAACCTCATACAGTATATATTTCAGTGGAGTGTATACAGATGAAATGATTACAAGAATCATTATGACTAGGAAGTGAGCAAATGAGATGTATTATTGACATTTCTAATAAAAGAGTGTTAACCTAGCCTATATTATATATTGAGTTATATGACCCAATATAGACATATATACCAATACTATATGTGTGTGTGTGTGTGTGTGTGTGTTTGTGTGTGTGTACCAATGGATGATTATGCAGAAAGTCATTCGTAGATATTTCTATTATATTTACTGTAACAATATAAGTAAAACATCCATCAATATTGTGCTTTAAAATTTTCTAAGTCCCTTCAGATGCATTACCCCGTTTAATATTCACCATAACTGAGATAGAGGATAGTCAATTATAATTATCTTTATTTTAAAGATGAATAAACTGAAGCTTTGAAAATTTAAATGACCTTTCTGTAGTCACAAAGTGCGTTAGTAGTATACAGTCCTAGTCTCATCCTATACTATATATATTACTAGAAGTCTGGTCTGAACTAAATACAATAAAATTCCTTACTCAATATAGCACTAGGAATTTAGTTTGGAGGCAAAAGGAAAAGAAAACATAATATCCTCATTCTTAAGAAATATGAGATCTAATTAGGGAGATATTCTGATGAGCACCAGATAATAAATTGTGCAGAAATGCAGAGTGCACATGAAGTTAAGGAATAATCAGAATGGTCTGCAATTATACTATAACCTTGCCTTGACAGAAATTAACTTTTAAAGTGGACATATAAATAGATTATGTGACTACATTTTGACGCTTTTAAATTCTTGAAGTTCTCTGGTTTTATTTTTCTTTTCCTATTCTCAAAATCACTGCCAATCAATGACTCTTACCCACCATTTCCTCTTAGTTTATTGCTTATTTAAAAATCTACGGTTTCTTCACTGTGCAGATCTATCTTAGCTTTCTCTGTTGAAGACTCTGCCAGACAGACCAGAAAACTTTACTCAGCGTTCTCTTCTAATTGTCTTATTCCCGGCTCTAATCCTGATGCCAAGATTTCTATTTGAACGACTTCTTCCTAGAATGCTAAATCTTCAACCTTTAGGAAAGCTTCATTCATTTTACCTTCCTCTATTTCTTAGAAAATCAGTAGAGAATTCTACTCAGTATGCAACCCTGAATTTGCCCTGCTAAGGGAACATTCTGTGTTGATCTCTCATAGTAGAATGAGTTTATTTCTCCAATTTTTGCTTAAAGTCAACACATGTCCGGCTTTACTAATATTGATTATTTTATATTATGTTTTATAATGCGCCAACACCTGGCATGCTATCACATGAAAATGCATTTGATATGCTTAAATGATACCATTGTCTTCTTTCAAATATTATATATCTGATCTCTTTCCCTTTCCACTATAACAGGAAATTCTTTCCCTATTAATCAAAAATTGCAAATGATAACCTTTCAAGTGATTAAGATGCAATAAAAAGGTATACAACTTCAATTATATATGTCTGTTTATAAACATGTCTTTTTCTTCGTGACTATGAACTGGTGCATGGCAATGACACAAGCATGACAAATAATGCTGTTAAACCATCACTATGTGACAACATACCAGGTCCTGTGTTAAGTCGTTTTGGTGCCTATTTTATCATAGCTTTGTATTGATCTTATGGAGAGATCATTGGTTTGCAATACAAATTTCCTTTAAAAAGTCAGTGAAGATCAAAGATACATTTTAAAATAGAAGCTGATGAGAAACACCTTTGTAAAAAATGAAAGACACTTACAGGAACCAGGAATTTCTTAATCTCTTCCAATGCATGACTCATACGTGAATAAGCTTCCCCAGGTGGAGCAAACACTTCAATTAATACATGAAGTTCATCACTCAAGTGGGCATATTTGGCTTCCCCACTCTTCCTTAGTTCTTCTTCCTGTGAAAAAGGTTATTGTTAGAAATACAAATCCACTCATTTCACATTGATTTAACATTTACTGAGAATATGACAAAGGGGCATAATTTAAACAAATTTTTCCATAAGTAGAAAGAAAACCTTTGAGAAATAAAAACCTGCTACAAGCCATTTAAAGATTTCAAAATCATTTTTGAGTGTTTGAATGATTTAAAAACTGGCATAACTATCATCCACACAGATTTTAATCAGCTAAATGAAAATGCTAAACTCCTGAAAATAAGTCACAGAAATGCCATTAACACTGTAGTCTACATGACTACATTCTGGAAGGAAAGAATTGTTTTGTGCTTGAGGTTTAGCATTTTACAGATAGTAAGTGAAAGATTGTCACTGTGTTCTTCAAAAAAATTAGAACTTTCTAGCTACTTTTTGAGAAGTTAGGAAAAGGTTATTTGATTGTGATAAAAAGCAGACTAACTACATAAATGAAGGCTTATTTCCAAGCCTATATTCCCACCAGCTCAGATTATCAGCAAGCTTCATACCCACATCTTTTCTATCATTTGTTGCCTTTTTTTCCTTTTTTTTTTTGGTCAGTAAGGGTATATTAAAGGGATGGTTGTTTAACACTTTGCTGCTATTGATTCTGAATGGGCTACATAAGCTCTACTTAACCAATGATACTAGGTTGCTGCAAAAGCAATTGTAATTTTTCCCATTAAAAGTAATGGCAAAACCTTTTAATGGCATTACTTTTAATGACAAAAACCACAATTGCTTTTGCACCAACCTAATACATTTCTATTGGAATAGACTTTTCCTAGTACTGTGCCCAAGCCATTATTGAAACCTTGTTAGTTCAGTATATGTGCAGAGCAAAACAACATATCATATATATATTTTGTTAATGCATGCTAAGTATTTTATACATATGATCTCTAATCACAATCATTTTGTATATAGTTATACGTTTCAGATTATGAAACTGAGGTTAGAAGACTTAAGTAGTTTCAGCCAAATTAGGATCCAAACTCAGTTCATTTTGCAAGCAGATTTGTATTTTTTTGGAATTTCAATATGTAAAATTTTGTGGAAAAGTTTACATAAATAACATTAATTATATTTTACCTGTCTTGCCCCTCACGGAAACAACCAGCAGTTATTACACTGAATTTCAAAAAATAAAACTAAACATGTAATTCTTAGTTTTATGTAGAGATTAGAAACATGACATGAATAGACCTAACGTGGACTTAAAACAGAACAAATTTGTTGTTGATATCATGGGAGTTAACTGTATAATCCACGCTAATATCAGTATTTATCTGTTTAGAAATGCTCAGAGTTTTAAAAGACGAAGGATCCATGAAAGAGATGGGAAGGCATGAAGGCATCCCTTCTTTCCTGTATATATACTCCTCAGCTACTCAAATCCTTCTGATAATACCACCTTGCAGCCTGGAAATCCACTGTTCACTTCTCTAAGGATACTTTCAAACTCTAACTAGGAGATCTATATATACATATATATTATATAATTATACTTTGAGGTCTGGGGTACATATGCAGAATGTGCAGGTTTGTTACATAGGTATACACGTGGCATGGCAGTTTGCTGCATCCATCCCCTCATCATCTACATTAGGTATTTCTTCTAATGTTAGCCCTCCCCAATCCCCCTACCCCCCGCTATCCCTCCCTTAACCTGACAAAACCCCCGAAAAGCCCCAGTGTGTGATATTCCCCTCCCTGTGTCCATGTGTTCTCATTGTTCAATATCCACTTATTAGTGAGAACATGTGTGTTTTTTCTGTTCTTGTGTCAGGTTGCTGAGAATGCTGGTTTCCAGCTCCATCCATGTCCCTGCAAAGGACATGAAATCATCCTTTTTTATGACTGCACAGTATTCCATGGTGTATATGGTACTGGTACCAAAACAGAGATACAGACCAATGGAAAAGAACAGAGACCTCAGAAGTAACACAACACATCTACAACCATCTGATCTTTGGCAAGCCTAACTAGGACTTTTTAACTTAAGAGCTTTTCTTAGTGACCAATTATCAGTTTGAGGAGGAGAAGCAGACTAGATTGAATGAAAACCCACCCATGAGGTATAGCAAACATTTCTTTTCTCTATGGGTCCTGCTAAGATGCAAGCTGCTTGTCTGTTCTGAGGCCAGCTTGTTTGATACTGAAGTAATTAAATCAGAGATTTCTTGACACTGTCTCTTTCTGTTACTTCCTATCTTGATTCCCATCTGGTTATTTTTGTGTTACTCTCTCCTTACACCTAGAATTTCCTAGGGAATTCAAATAATTTTCACCTCTATTAAGCAAAATAATATGGCCATTGAGTGATATTTCCTATAGTGACATGTCCAGTTCATGATAGGGCTCAACAAAATAAAGAAAATAGCAGTTAATTGACCCTACCATCCTTGGAAGATACAGTGGTGATCATCATTTGCTACTTGGGATGATGCTTTGTAATCACATCTTCCATAAGCAGTGTGTCCAAGAAGTTTACAAAGACATAGGGTTTTTTATAGGGAGACTATTGTGCAGGAAAATGTTTTTACATTGTCAAGAATAGTAGCTACCTGCTTTTTGTATTTTTATGAATGATAAATCATAAATTGTTCATAATCTAATGTGGACCATGTATTCCTCCTTGGCTCCACTCCAGGTGCTGGTATTTTGTCCTGCTAGATCCTCCTCTGAGGCATTACACCATCACCACCACCACCACCAGAAAGAACTCCTGAGTAACTGAGGTGATGACTTTTAAACACCTATGTGCATATCATACACACAATATATATGTAGTATTTTCTCATATATCTAATTAGAGAATAAATGTTTACTACCATCCACTAAACTGCCTCATCAAATTAACTAAATATTTACCCCCGACATGAGGTTTTAAAATTAATATCTAAGACACTTTGACTGCTCAAGGCATTAGATTCCTCTCTAGTGCACCCAAATGCATCAGCTCCCATCTCTTAAATTGTATAAACAAGAATCAGCATCATGTGTTTGCAAACCTATTTATACTAGTAGTAGTATTTGTTATTGTACACTTTGTTATGGTATTTTACTGTATTTTTATATTTTTCCTTTCAATGCAATCATCATGAAATTGCCTAACAACACATTTCTAAGAACTTATCTTCATCACTAAGCACACATGACGATTCAGAAATAATAAAGCTGAAGGTAAACAACTCTGTGAAATATGCAAGAAAGTAGGAAGTGTTTCCAAGAAAAACCATAGATGGTATGAAGTATGAATGGTATGTTTTTATTAAGGCAAAATATCATTAATCTGGTGCTAACGGACTCAGTTTTTTTTGTTTGTTTGTTTTGTTTTTTTTTTTTTTTGAAAAAGCACGGAGGTGGGAAACAATAAAAGAAAACCTGAATGGATATGAAACATTTTTAGAATGTTAGTGGGAAATAACTCGTATTGCATTGATACGAAAAACTGTAGAAGTTTTATAGAAAATAAGTCTTATGTTGCCTGGTCAAAGCTGGCTACATTTGAATGGGTTCCTTCAAAAAGATTATTATTTTATTATTATTATTTTTTGAGACAGGGTCTTGCTTTGTTGCCCAGGTGGGAGTCCAGTGGCATGCCATCTCAGCTCACTGCAACCTCTGCCTCCCTGTTCAAGCAATTCTGCTGCCTCAGCCTCATGAGTAGCTGAGACTACAGGCACACATTGCCAGGCCCGGCTAATTTTTCTATTTGTAGTAAAGACAGGGTTTCACCATGTTGGCCAGGCTGGTCTCAAACTCCTGACCTCAGGAGATCCGGCCACCTTCTCCCAAAGTGCTGGGATTACAAGCGTGAGCCATTGAGCCCAGCCAGATTTTAATGGACTTGTGATCTAAGGGATCAAATTGATGCCCATTAATCAACTAAGATAGGCCTCAGGCTAAGAAAACAGAAGTTACTTGTGAGTCCAGTGTTCAGGACCCAGATGGCATGGCAAATTTCCAAATTCCTACCACTATAAGGAAACCTACACCTTAGCTAAACTTCTACCAATAGAGCTATCAGGCTGACTTACAACCCAACCCACCACAACTCTGACTGGACAGAGGATTGACCTTACAAATATTCTTTTCTGATTAGCTATTGTAAAACTTAAACCAGTTTCAGCCAGCTTATAGAGGCTGCATACAAACTGTCTTTGTGTACTATGATTCACTTTTTGACATAAAGAGCTGAATTCCATGTCATTTTAATGCTAAAACCTCACCTCAAAATGAACATGGGATGTATGTTATACACATGTTTACCCACTGGGCATGCCCTCTGTTCTCTCATAAATAGGTATAGCTTTCCCACAAATCTGCTGAATATATATTATACAGGCCCTGTGAGGCATAAAACCTATTCTGTCCTTCCCTTCTTTTATATTTATTTTTTATTTTTTTATTGTACTTTACATTCTGGGGTACATGTGCAGATCATGCAAGATTGTTGCATAGGTACATTCACGGCAAGGTGGTTCGCTGCCTCCATCCCCCCATCACTTATACCTGATATTTCTCCCCACATTTTCCCTTCCCACCCTCCCTCCCACTATCCCTCCCCTAGCCTCCTCAATGGACCCCAGTGTGTGATGCTCCCCTCTCTGTGTCCTTCACTTCTTTAAAGAAAGAGCACCTTTGATCCACACTGGAGAGTTTCTCTTCTCAATTTGCAAGCTGATATTGTCAATAAAGCTCTCTTATCTACTATTTAGCCATCCTGGTGGTCTTTCAAATGACAACTTTTATATCAATGATCACTGATTCAAAACTAAAGTTTGGTTTTTCTCTGTTAAAACAATAATGTTTTCTTGGATTATGGGTCTGCTCTTAAGAAATTATAAAAGCTTTTCTTTACCTGTTAAGTAATCTGCCTAGAAAACATTCTGTGTCTTATCAGAATAATTTCTTATGCTTTATGTTAACATTTATCACCTTCAATTATTTAAGAGAACCAAGTCCTGTCACTTAAA